CGCTTATCGTCTATGCTTGGGTTGGTCTCACCGCTAGGAATCTCCACCGGCTTTCTCCTTGTCCTAGCTGGTTTAGTGCTTATCATTTGGCTATCTCAACCAAGGTTTGAGAGCTGGTAATGGAAAAAATAATAAATAAATGTAAATGGGTTCAGAAGCACGTGGATTTGAAAATGTTGATATAAAGAAAGGTCTAATCATAGCTTCAGTCATCTATTTTCGGTAAGATTCTAACTTTGTCACCTAGTTTTAGTATAATTTCAACCAAGCTTTAATAGTTTAGATTAGTTTGCTTTAGCCTTATTTTAGTAAATAAATATTCTAGTAGCATCATCAAATTTTAGATTTTAATAAGTTAATTTTTATAGTGAGGGAAATTTTTTTGGATTCAAATTCAAAATTGAGATGGTTTGGGATCGTGAGAGAAAGATTGGAAGCTCGAAAGTCAAAATTTTTGAAAAGTCATATTTTATGTTTTTCGATGTCTTGATTCCGATTTTGAAGTCTGTTTCGCCAAATTTGAACCCAGTAAGCTAGTTTTCATTGATTAATCACCCGATTCGATCCGTTTTTCGGAATTAAGCTCCGTTAATGATGTCATTGCTGTTGATATGCATCTGAGGAATTATTGGAAGTTGATTTCAAGATCGAGGGCGTTCAAATGGAATTTAATGGTTGATCAGTATGGCACAGAAATCGAGGTAATACATTACTACCTCTTTATGCTTTATTGAACATGTTGGTATTGGTAAATGCATGAATGAAAATGTTTCGTCTCATATATGTAATTAATGAAGTTCTACGCTCGATACGAATATGGTAGAAAATAAGTAACTGAATGTGACTCAGATGACTATTATAAGAATAGGAGGATAGTTGAAATTAAATTACAAGTTCTGGAATTAAGTGATAAAGGAATCAACCATGGATATGTAGATTATAATTTATCTCATTAAAGGTACTTGGATGATAAATTATGAGAATATTTCGATTATGTAAAATTACAAAAATACTCCTATATTTTAAAATGACAAGAATTATCCTTGGAAGTTGATTAATAACTCTAAAAAGACTTATTGATCTGATAAAACTAAAAATGTGTATAAGGAACATTAGTTTGCTTAGAAAATTTGGATAATCAATTTTTAACCCCAAGAGGGTTTGTGCAAGATACTAGAAGTCTGTTAAGGGAATCATTTCAAGATCAGAGAATGTTCAAGAAAGCAATTAATCATAGGATCTCTAAATTATATTATTTTTGTTAAGAATTAATATCGAAATTATTTGGTTAAGAAATTATAAAAATGCCCTTGAGAGGTAAAAATAGTCCGAGTTGACCCTGAATGAGAAAGTACTTTGAGGATTTATATTTAACTCGATAAATTACGTTTAATTGTTAAGATCCTATCTTTGTACAGAAAATTCCTGATAACCTGTTGGTAACTTCTGAGAAGACAATTGACCTAAAAATCTCTAAATTATATTATTTTTGTTAAGAGTTAATATCGAAATTATTTGATTAAGAAATTACAAAAATGCCCTTGAGAGGTAAAAATAGTCCGAATTGACCCTGAATGAGAAAGTGCTTTGAGGATTTATACTTAACTCGATAAATTACGTTTAATTGTTAAGATCCTATCTTTGTATAGAAAATTTCTGATAACCTGTTGGTAACTTCTGAGAAGACAATTGACCTAAAAATCTCTGAGTTAAGAATAAATTATCGAGAGTGCTCTTCTGTCATAATTATTCGAAAGGTCTGGAAAAGATGATACGTTTGAATTAAATAATAAGATCATATGGGAAGAAGGGATTGGAATACACCAGATCTGTAAAATGACCAAAATAACCCTAGAATAGAAATAACCCAAGAATATCACTAAGCTCATAAATGATTGGATATCTTTAAGCTCTGAAATGAATGGAATAAAATTGAGCACCATAATTACCAAAATACCCTTATGGCCTATACTAAGTTGATGTTTTGGATTAATTAAGGAATCCAAGTAAATATGGGTGTTGTATTACCCTTAAAAGTTATGGATCATAATTTAAATAAGTAGATCAACCCTAAAGCTATGTCAATACCTGAATGGCATAGATATTACTTAAATGTGTGTTCGTCTTCTCAAGTTTGGCTCGATGATAATTTTGGAAGTATTCAGTTCAGCTCAACTCTAGATCGCATTCAGTTCTAAGAATTGGACGTTTGTTCGACAAATCAACCAAGAAGACCAAATTGAATGGATCAGAAGTACAATATGTATCTGAAATTTAGAAACGTTTGAATTACTCTGGAAAATCTGGAAGTAACTGGAATGGACTTGAATGCTAAATGAACTAAGTAACCTCAATGACTGAGGATTAAGTAAGTGATTAGGATAAGGCTGGAAATTCATATAAACTTACATGATGTATCATCCCTATGGATTATAAACCATAAATCAAGTATGTCAGCATTTCATGGTATCTTGGAGGCATGAAAAGGAAATAAAGATCATTAGAATATATGTTCGTATCCTTAAGATATGTTCAGTGATGACTCAAAAGTTGATTTATGGACAGTAATTGTTGGTATTAAAGAGTGAATACCTGGTAGGATAACGAATGGACCGGTCAACATGCATTAGTTTTGGGAATTATTAAACTTGAGTTATTTCAATAATTCGATAAATCAACGCCGATTGTAAATGTTCTGAATCTTCATTTCTTCCTTATCAGCTCAAGTTATATTCTGAATAACTGATGATTTCGTTAGTTATTGAACTATTCCTATAGTGATTCTAAATCCTGACATTCTATCGGTAAATTGAAGATCCTTGTTCCTCTGCCCATCAAGATTATCCAGTATCTCTGAAGAATATCTGATAAATATTTTGATCCTCTAGTGGTTCCACATGTACTACATGAAAATTTTATATGTTTCAAATGAGTTTAACGAAAGTATTGATTTACTGGTTTATGAACCATGACAACATGGTATGTGATCTCTTATTACGGTTTTAATCGAAAAATATGAATTGTACATGATTTATGAAATTATGGAATTTACTGGTTTATGAATTATGTTATCTGGTTTCATGTTTTCAATGGAAAATATAAATTGTTCCTGATTTATGGAATCATGGAATTTAGTAGGAGTGTAGGTGGGTGTAAGGTTATGTGGAACCTACACATTATGGAGTGTTGGTTGGAGGGAATAATATGATTTTTGATAAACGTTTTATGGGAGGGTGTTGTTGAAGGAAGTTACCGTTACTGATGGCTCCTCTGCTTTGTTCTCAGGGTAAGTCCTTACTTGGTGTGTAGGTGGGTGTATGGTTCTGGGGAACCTACACATTATGAAGCGTTTGGTTAGAGGGATTAATATGGTTTTTGAATAAAAATATGTTTTTAAACTATTACTGTTTAAAAAGAAAAGATCTGTAATTTTTCACTGGTTTTATGGGAACACACTAGATAACCTATTCTGATCTCTTGAACTTAGTCTTTCGAAATACTTATATGAACTGAAAGCTCATTGTCCGTTACCCCTGAAATATCAGTAGGATCTCCGCTCAGCATAAAATCTGTAGATGTTCGAAACCAATAAGGAAATATAATGTGATTTGTATCTGCACGATCTTCAACATCATGTGGTAGTTCTGTATTACTGAGCTTTCTGAAGCTCACTCTATTACTCAACATTGCAGGTTAAAAGAATTGTACCAGTGCAGCTATCGACTTCAGTAAGGGAGTTCTTCTGGCGTTGTTTGCAGAGTATGGTACATGTGATTAGGGGGTATGTAATTGTATTTTGTTTTATATATGAGTATGAAAATCTGTTTTAGTTCTATATACTGATAAATCATTTTATAAGTACATGTTTTATTAAAAGTTTTAAATTTTCTGCTATTTTTACAGTGGGTCGCTCCGGTGGCCCTAATGTGACACTCCAGATTGGATCGAGTTACCCAAATCGGTCTGAGGGGGTTACATTTAGTGGTATCAGAGCTATGGTTTGAGTTAAAATTTTCAAGATAGACCGGCCGGTCGAATTTCAAAAGATGTCTAATCAGTATATGCCCTAGACTATAATCGTACCTCTCTGAGCCGGAACTCCAGGGCTGAGCCCCTATCTGTAACGAGTAAACTGAAATTTCTATCCGTTAAGGTCATACTTGTACAAAAAGAAATACCAGTAATGTCTGTCTAAATTCTGTAAAGTACCTCACGAGTCATATGAGAGTTACTCATATGAGAAATTCTGATCCAACTTCAGAAATGAAATTGGGATATGTTATTGCTCTATGAGCCTATTCTCGTAACCAATGCTGAATTGATTCCACAAGGATAAATCTGTTCTGATTATTTTATTGGAATGAGGGAAAGTTCTGAAAAAAATGTATACTCAGGTGGTTAAGGATTAATAGAGTATCGGTACTTTTGTAAAAGCTATTGAAAGATATGAAAGAACTGATGAAAGTTTCATTTATGCAATTATGTGACATGAATAAATTTCGAAGACGAAATTCTTTTAAGGAGGGGAGAATTGTAACACCCCAATTATTGTAATTATTAAGAGCACATGTATATTGGCCCGTAGCAATTATTATGGCCACCTTTTAATGCCATTATTATATGTAGGCACTGAGCCAACAACTCCTCAATTATGAAAGAGATAGAGAGTGTGTAATAATCCATTATAATAAAAGAACTCTCTGAGCCTGCGAACTTAGAGTGAAAATTTGTGATAAACATATCCCTATCTGTTCATCATCAACAAAAGACAACTCATTTTCTCTAATAACACCTCTCGTTTACACTTTTGTTTTCACTCCACTTTATCTATTTATTCTCCATCTACGGCCAATCCCAGCAAAAAACCATTTTTCTGGTTCCTTGTCCATTTTTCAGGCACTTCCCAGTTGGGAGAAGGGGGAAATGGCACAGATTTAGCACCCTCGACTCAATGGTAAATGAGATTACCGAAGACCTCGACCTTTGGAAGTCCCATTACGATGGAAATGTGGAGTCCTTTGATGTTGAAACAGAATAGGAAAGGAGCAGCTAAGAGTTCTGGAAAATTTATAGTGCTCGCCTTGTCTGAGAACATATTGTCATCTAACGAGGAAAGGGTGCGACGGTGCATGGCTTTGGATCCGGGCTGCTCAATAAGTGGTGTTGCGGTTGGGTCTATTTCACACTTCTCCGGGACTGTGTGGTAGCAAGCAAGACGTGGGTTAAGGTAATTAAACCGGAACTCATGGGTGAGTTCATGCAACTCGACCTGGTTAGTTGGATCGAGCAAAACATACGTGGTCGGCCGCGCTTTCCAGTCTTACCGGTTGATTGGGATTATACTTTGCAAATGTTATTTGGTGTTTAAGGAAGATAAAGAATTATTTGATTTTCGATCCAGGTTTTTTCTCTTATGAAAGAGTGTTCCAGAGTGTTCCATAAAAGTTTCCTCTTATTTAGTGCTTATCATTTGGCTATCTCAACCAAGGTTTGAGAGCTGGTAATGGAAAAAAATAATAAATAAATATAAATGGGTTCAATAAGAACGTGGGTTTGAAAATATTGATATAAAGAAAGGGCTAATCATAGCTTCAGTCATCTATTTTCGGTAAGATTCTAACTTTGTCACCTAGTTTTAGTATAATTTCAACCAAGCTTTAATAGTTTAGATTAGTTTGTTTTAGCCTTAATTTAGTAAATAAATATTCTAGTAGCATCGTCAATTTTTAGATTTTAATAAGTTAATTTTTATGGTGAGGGAAATTTATTTGGATTCAAATTCAAAATTGAGATGGTTTGGGATCGTGCGAGAAAGATTGGAAGCTCGAAAGTCAAAATTTTCGAAAAGTCATATTTTATGTTTTTCGACGTCCTAATTTTGATTCTGAAGTATGTTTCACCAAATTCGAACCCGGTAAGCTAGTTTTCATTGATTAATCACCCGATTTGATCCGTTTTTCGGAATTAAGCTCCGTTTCTGATGTAATTTATGTTGATATGCATCTGAGGAATTATTGGAAGTTGATTTCAAGATCAAGGGCGTTCAAATGGAATTTAATGGTTGATCAATATGACATGGAAATCGAGGTAATACATTACTACCTCTTTATGCTTTATAGAACATGTTGGTATTGGTAAATGCATAGATGAAAATGTTTGGTCTCATATATGTAATTAATGAAGTTCTACGCTCGATACGAATGTGGTAGAAAGTAAGTAACTGAATGTGACTCAGATGACTATTATAAGAATTGGAGGATAGTTGAAATTAAATTACAAGTTCTGGAATTAAGTGATAAAGGAATCAACCATGGATATGTAGATTATAATTTATCTCATTAAAGGTACTTGGATGATAAATTATGAGAATATTTCGATTATATAAAATTACAAAAATACCCCTATGTTTTAAAATGACAAGAATTATCCCTGGAAGTTGATTAATAACTCTGAAAAGACTTATTGATCTGATAAAACTAAAAATGTGTATAAGGAACGCTAGTTTGCTTAGAAAATTTGGATAATCAGTTTTTAACCCCAAGAGGGTTTATGCAAGATACTAGAAGTCTGTTAAGGCAATCATTTCAAGATCAGAGAATGTTCAAGAAAGCAATTAATCATAGGATCTCTAAATTATATTATTTTTGTTAAGAGTTAATACCGAAATTATTTGGTTAAAAAATTAGGAAAATGCCCTTGAGAGGTAAAAATAGTCCGAGTTGACCCTGAATGAGAAAATACTTTGAAGATTTATACTTAACTCGATAAATTACGTTTTTAATTGTTAAGATCCTATCTTTGTACAGAAAATTTTTGATAACCTGTTGGTAACTTCTGAGAAGTCAATTGACCTAAAAATCTTTGAGTTAAGAATAAATTATCGAGAGTGCTCTTCTGTCAGAATTGTTCGAAAGGTCTGGAAAAGATGATACGTTTGAATTAAATAATAAGATCATATGGGAAGAATGTATTGAAATACACTAGATCTGTAAAATGACTAAAATACCCCTAGAATAGATATAACCCAAGAATATCACCAAGCTCATGAATGATTGGATATCTTCAAGCTCTGAAATGAATGGAATAAAATTGAGCACTAGAATTACCAAAATACCCTTATGGCCTAGACTAAGTTGATGTTTTGGATTAATTAAGGAATCCAAGTAAATATGGGTGTTGTATTACCATTAAAAGTTATGGATCATAATTTAAGTGAGTAGATCAACCCTAAAGCTATGTCAATACCTGAATGACATAGATATTACTTGAATGCGTGTTCGTCTTCTCAAGTTTGGCTCGATGATAATTTTGGAAGTATTCAACTCAGCTCAACTCTAGATCGCATTCAGTACTAAGAATTGCATGTTTGTTCGACAAATCAACCACGAAGACCAAATTGAATGGATCAGAAGTACAATATGTATCTAAAATTCAAGAACGTTTGAATTACTCTGGAAAATCCCGAAGTAACTGGAATGAACTTGAATGCTAAATGAACTAAGTAACCTCAATGACTGAGGATTAATTAAGTGATTAGGATAAGCCTGGAAATTCGGATGAACTTACATGATGTATCATCCCTATGGATTATGAACCACAAATCAAGTATGTTAGCATTTCATGGTATCGTGGATGCGTGAAAAGGAAATAAAGACCATTAGAATATATGTTCGTCTCCTTAAGATATGTTCAGTGATGACTCAAAAGTTGATTTATGGACAATAATTGTTGGTATTAAAGAGTGAATACCTGGTAGGAAAACGAATGGACCGGTCAACATGCATTAGTTTTGGGAATTGTTAAACTTGAGTTATTTCAATAATTCGATAAATCGACGCCGACTGTAAATGTTTTGAATCTTCATTTCTTCCTTATCAGCTCAAGTTATATTCTGAATAACTGATGATTCCATTAGTTATTGTATTATTCCTATAGTGATTCTAAATTCCGACATTCTATCGGTAAACTGAAGATCCTTGTTTCTCTGCCCAATAAGATTATCCAGTATCTCTGAAGAATATCTGATAAATATTTTGATCCTCTAGTGTGTTCCATATGTACTACATGACAATTTTATATCTTTCAAATGAGTTTAATGAAAATATTGATTTACTGGTTTATGAACCATGACAACATGGTATGTGATCTCCGATTACGGTTTTCATCGAAAAATATGAATTGTACATGATTTATGAAATATTGGAATTTACTGGTTTATGAATTATGGTTACGTGAAATATGTTATTTGGTTTCCTGTTTTCAATGGAAAATATAAATTGTTCCTGATTTATGGAATCATGGAATTTAGTAGGAGTGCAGGTGGGTGTAAGGTTATGTGGAACCTACACATTATGGAGTGTTGGTTGGAGGGAATAATATGATTTTTTATAAACGTTTTATGGGAGGGTGTTGTTGGAGGAAGTTACAGTTACTGATGGTTCATCTGCTTTGTGCTCAGGGTAAGTCCTTACTTGGTGTGTAGGTGGGTGTATGGTTCTGGGGAACCTACACATTATGGAGCGTTTGGTTGGAGGGATTAATATGGTTTTTTGAATAAAAATATGTTTTTAAACTACTACTGTTTAAAAAAAAAGATCTGTAATTCTTCACTGGTTTTATGGGAACACACTAGATAACCTATTCTGATCTCTTGAACTTAGTCTTTCGAAATACTTATCTGAACTGAAAGCTCATTGTCCGTTACCCCTGAAATATCAGTAGGATCTCCGCTCAGCATAAAATCTGTAGATGTTCGAAACCAATAAGGAAATAATGTGATTTGTATCTGAACGATCTTCAGCATCATCTGGTAGTTCTGTATTATTGAGTTTTCCGAAGCTCACTCTATTACTCAACATTGCAGGTTAAAAGAATTGTACCAGTGCAGCTATCGACTTCAGTAAGGGAGTTCTTCCGGCGTTGTTTACAGAGTATGGTACAGGTGATTAGGGAGCATGTAATTGTATTTTATTTTATATACGAGTCTGAAAATCTGTTTTAGTTCTGTATACTGATAAATCATTTTATAAGTACATGTTTTATTAAAAGTTTTAAATTTTTTGCTATTTTTACAGTGGGTTGCTCCGGTGGCCCTAATGTGACACTCCAGATTAGATCGGGTTACCCGCATCAGTCTGAGGGGGTTACATTTAAAATAATGCATAATATGTATAGTATGTTATATATAATGTTATATTGTTTTGATGTGGCTTGATAAGATGATATGTTCATACATGTTTAAGCATTTAGAGTTTCCTTTATAAGTTTAATGCCTCACTAAGTCATTGTAACCCGCTATACCCGGCCTATGCGTTTCGACTAAGTCTAGTGGATCACTTTCATGATTCTTAAAGACATTTTCCGAAAACATTATTCAATCAAGGTAAAATCACATTATAAATTTCATTTATGAAATTATAATAGATTATACTATAAAAACTCAACTCATAAATATAAATTTAAAAGTAACAAATTAATTTAAACATGTCTTAAAAATCCAAATTTAAACCATCGTATAATCTATTAGAATAATGTGGGAGGTGAAGCGGTCAAAGATTCGGACGAGTTGAAATCGAGCTCTCCACCGTTCAAAAATTTGAACCGAGGTTGGTAAGTTACTCAAAATCGCTTAAAAAAATTTTGGTAATTTTTTCAGGAATTTTTGGAGACCGGAGGAGGCCTCACGCGCCGCCCCTACGCGTGGGGGAGCTGCGAACTGATGGAGTGCATTATTGACCGGCTGGACCGGTCTAAACCGGTCTGAACCGACCCGACCCGGTGATATTTTGGTAATTATTTTTAAAACGGTGATATTTTGGTAATTATTTTTTAAAACGGTGATATTTTGGTAATTATTTTTTAAAAAAGGTGATATTTTGGTAATTATTTTTAAAAAGTGCTATTTTCGTAATTATAAAAAAAGCTATTTTCGTAATAGTTTATTGTGGACTATTGAGCACCTTTGACCATAACTTTGACCGGCTTTAACCGGCCATTACACGACATTTGATTTTGTTCGAGTATACCTATTCTGACATTTTTCGACGTGCCGAATCCGTTTCCGAAGTCAGTTTCGCCAAATTCGAACCCGAAGGTCTTCAAATCATCAGTCAAACTTGTTGACTTTGACTTTGACCAAGAGGACACTGTCGGACTCGGAATGACACCAGGAACACGATGGTGCGGGAGGTGTCAAAAACCGATCAACGATCGGAGATGAATTTAAGATTTTCTCGGCGGTGGTGCTAATAAAACGTCGAGACTTTGACTCAAAATTCACTTCGTTTGGCAGTGTTTCGCTATAATTGGTTTACTGGGTTTTGTTCACAGGTCGAAGATGAGTACGATGGTGGTTTTAATTTTACGATTGAAGGTTGGACATCGTCGAAATCGAACTTGAAAGTAGAGGTACGGGAGGAAGAAAGTTTAAGCAAATTAAGAATGTGTTTTCTAATTTCAATTAGAAAACACGCTTATAATACAAGCCTGTCGACACTCCTTGGAGGAATTCAGGGCTTGGTCCCTGAATTTTCTTTAACTTCTAAAATGGCCTATAAGTTTTGAAAACTTTTAATTTAGTCACCAAATTTCACCTAATTTTACCAATATAAATATATATATTTCTCTCTGGTTTTCCCGGTTGTTACAGTCATAGACTTAGCGTGTGATTGTATCACACGTAGGTTACAAAAACGAGAAGAGAAGTGAAGAAGAGCAATACAAGTCAGCATATCCCTTACAAAATTTTAGATCAGAAAATAGACATTTTAAATGTGTTTGGTTATTTTGAATATAGTTGGCATGTACTAATTGATTGAGTTGAATATGCTCTGATCGATTTTGGTTATTTTGGTCGATTTATGTAAATAAAATGCTTTTATTTTAATGAAAGTTTTAAATTTTCTTTGAATTTTGTCAAGAGTCAAAGTTTGAAAAGTCAATGTGACACCTCAGACTCGTATTCGGGTCGGGTACGGGTTGAGGGTGTTATAATTTATTATTTGTATCTTTCTGACTTCTTTTTCCAAATAGTTAAGAATTATCTTTGAACTTATATTATTTTGTAATTACTTCAGATTAATAAAAAGAACATATTATTCACTATAAGGATTTATAAATTTGATGATGATATAAATTTAGAGTTTTTTATCTTTATTTTTTAAAAACATATTAATAATAAATTTATTTCCATGATTTAATTTTGGAGGAAGTTAAGAGTTTCATGCTAGATTTGTGAAGTTTGAGACATTTTGTAATGAAATGAACATTAAAATTTCACACTCAAAAGGTCAAAAGGAGTGAATTAAAAATTTTATGGTACAACAGTTATTAAGATCAAAAGCAGCCAAGAATGACCAATGGTGATGGTATACTTTGATTGGATTCACGAGTTAAATTAATATTTTATCTAAATTTTGAGAGTCAAAACAGTATTTCATCTAAACTTCAAGGGTTAAATTAAAAATTATTTTTTTGATTAACAAATTAAAAGTTAACCCCTTCTATTAACAACGTATCATATCATCAAATTAACAACATTTAACATTCTAATGACCAAAATAATATAAATTGATAACGTCAGTGACTAAAATATTACAATTGGATAACATAAGAGACCAAAGCGTTAAATTCTTTTTTTAATTTGATGAGTAAAAGTGGACACTTATAAAATAAAAGTGACCATTTCAGAGTTTACCCAAAAGATTTTGCCAACTCCCATAGTAATACCTTACGCAGAGAAATAAATACAGTGTCTTCACTGAAAATTCAACATCATATAAATAATTGATAGTAATTCTAAGCAACATTAGAGTAATATAACATTTACGGGAAAAGAATAAAGATTTAAATTAATATAATTTTCAAATTGTAAGATTAAACTTATTATTATTTAATTATGATCAAAATAATAGAATATATAAGTTTTAGAGTTAATTTTATTATTATACCAGTAGATTTATGTTTCAATTTTAACGATGGAGTAACATGTTTGTAAATGATTTGATAATTGAGTAACTTGGAACATAATTTATTATTGTTTTTTTGAATAGTTTGAGTAATTATTAGACAATATTTATTCATAATCTTCTTTAATCATTGATAACACACCTTACAGACATATTTATTCGAATCAGAATCTTTAGAGAGAATAACACTTCTTTTAACCGCTGAAATATCTTGATGGGTTTTCTTTTTTAATATTTAAAATATACATTATTATAAAATAAACATTAATATAGCACATAAAAGTAATTGGTTTATTTTCATAAAACAGAAAATAGAAAACAGGGAACATAAATTTTGATAGTCCAAGTTTGGTTTATTTAAGATCTAAACAAGAAAACTTACAATTACAAGAGAAATAAACAGAGTCATCAAAGTATAGAATTTTTGAACAATAAATGAGAACTAATATGAGGTTTGCTTATGTCCTCGTACTTACGATTTTAGGGTTTGTTATGTTTTAAACCCATGCAGAATCATACCAAATAAATCAAGCTCGTCGTGTTTTGAACTTAGTTGTGCTTCCTCAGGTGCCCGTCCCACCATCTTCACCCGGTCACGGTGGAAATAAACCGCTTGCTCCGCCGTCCTATGTCAGTTAAGCTGGTCGTGCTTTGAACTTCGGTGTACTTCCTCATGCACCTGTACCACCCTCTTCACCCGGTCACGGTGGAAATAAAGTTGCGCCTCCGTCCCATGTAAGTCAGTCTGGTCCTGCTTTGAACTTTGGTGTACTTCCTTAGGCACCTGTACCACCCTCTTCACCCGGTCACGGTGGAAATAAAGTTGCGCCTCCGTCCCATGTAAGTCAATCTGGTCCTGCTTTGAACTTTGGTGTACTTCCTCAAGCGCCCGTCCCACCATCTTCACCCGGTCACGGTGGAAATAAGCTGCTTTAGCCGCCGTTCTATGTCAGTCAAGCTGGTCGTGCTTTGAACTTTGGTGTACTTCCTCAGGCACCAGTACCACCATCTTCACCCGGTCACGGTGGAAATAAACCGCTTTCGCCTCCGTCCTATGTCAGGCAAACTGGTCGTGCTTTGAACTTTGGCGTACTTCCTCAGGCACCTGTACCACCTTCTTCACCCGGTCACGGCGGAAATAAACCCGTTTCACCATCTAGGCCTGTACACGTCGGAAAATAATTTTCTATTGATCTCATGACCGTTTTCCTAGTTTTTATTTCAACCCTAGTCGCTTATTTTCCAAAAATATGTTCTTTACACTTGAATGGTCGAGGATGGACTATTTGCATAATAACATATTTCCACATTTTGGTATTAATTGAGTTTAATGTTTTGATTTAAAATTAATTTAAATATCTCAAATTAAGTGATTTTAGTAGTTGAAAGATTATTATTGTTTTTTTGTCCACCTATGTAGAGTTATAAGAGTTTAATATCAAATAATTGAGTCTATAAATAAATATTTCATTCTATTCATCACAAATTAATAAAAGAATGATTTAAACAACATTATATTTATAAGAATTACATAATTAAAATATTTAAAAATAATAAAAGTATAAAAGACTATTATTATATAATCTGTAATATCATTAAATAATTTATGATATATATTAACATCAAATCTCGTTTGAGATCAAAGAAACTTTTTAATTATGAGAATTATATAATTGATTTATCAAAGAAATGGATAGGATATAGAGAAAATTTCGATATTGTATTATCTATCTAAAACAACACTAATTATTTATAATATCTGCAAACACTGGATTTAATAATTAAATTAATATTTATGAGAATTATATAATTTATATATCAAAGGAAATAATAAATTTATGAAAATTTCGATATTATATTACCTAAAATAATATTAATTATTTACGATTGTATGTAAACATCTATTTTTGTTTAAAACCAAGTGAAATCTTTTTAATTATAAGAATTGTATAATTGACATATAAAAAAAAAATAACAATAAAATTGTGAAAATTTCGACACTATATTATCTAAAACAACATTAATTATGTGTTATCTTTAAAAATTTAAATATATAATTTAAATAGTATAAAATATTTATTATTTTTAATATTTTAGGGAGATTACTATATATATAATATTTGTCTATGATTTTTCTAAATCAGTGGCAACATATACATACCCGCATATACAACTGTTTGAATCTAAGAAAATAATGTAATTGTGAAAATTATATAAAAAATTGAATAATAATTTTTTTTTATTTAATAGTGTTTTAAGTACTTATCGGTTTAAATTTAAATAAAATTATACTTTTGTTCTTTCATTTTTCATATTAAATATCTAATAAGTCCTTATTATTATTATTTTGACAAGAATAAGTTTTTGTTTTTTTGAATTTTTTTGAAAGGGGTATTATGTATGTTATTAACACGACGAAACATATAAAATAACGACAAAAATCAGAGTCTCGTTAAAAAACTTCCCTATACCTAATTGAAAGAAAAAGAGTGCCCCAAACAGGAAAAATCAAGGAGATAATGTTGTTGGAAAAAAAATTTCACGAGATAATGCGTTCCAACAATTAATTGCTGAGATTGGGTGAAATCTACAGTTCTAACATATGTCGCCAGCCGCTCCTGGCGACCAAGGAGGTCGCCATGCCGTCCCTGCGAGCTGCTGCATTACCTATATCAGTAATTAGGCTTTTACCCAAAACCCTAAAGTAACTAACAATCTCTCCAGTTTGGTCGCCGGAATCACATGGCGACCTCCATTTCAGCGTAGTTAAAAAGCCTAATTACCGATGTAGATAATCGTTGTTACTTAGGGAAATTTAGGTAATCACATAAAAGCCTGCTCTAATTAGTATGCTTGTACAAGAACCTACAGCAGCCAGCACACCCAAATCCGCTCACCCATCGACAGCTCAGCGAGGCCATCAACCCATCACACGATACAATCCTCTAAACTATAAAATGCATTCCCTAGTAAGGGATAGATACTGGAGAAGTAAAACAGCCCCCTAAGGAACCTCCCAAAGTGCACATAATTTGAAAACAATAACGACAGCAAAGACCAAACAAAGACATGAAAATAAAATCCACCACCAAAAAGATTTCCATTCGCATCGACTTGCTATCTCAAGAACAACCTTCCAAACACAGAACCAATCCAATATCTCGAAGGCTGCCATAATACCAAACAAATCGTTTCCGACAGTACCAAGAAGTTGCTTAGACGAAAACACCGATACATCTCAGGAAAATCGAAACCAGACAAACTAGAGACTACCTTAGAGAGACCACATAGAAAAGAAAGTCGCCCCATATCTGAACTCCAAAAACTAATAACCATCTGACCTTACGTACTCCTGAATAACTTCTCGCTCATCCCTTCAATTTGAAAACCAAGATTCTTACCAAAATCCCATGCTTTCTCAGCTTCCTTAAAGATTTATTTTCCGGTTGATGATATCCGAATCATACACAGAAGCATTAACCATTTCGCTAGATTCGACTCGAACCTTTGAACTTTGTTTCTTCACAGCTTTATCTCTTCTTTTTCTTACGGCTGCCGAAAAAGACTTGTTTTGAATTTCCAACATTGATTTAAATTTCTTCTTCGAAATACCTTTAGAACTAAACCTTCTAATAGAAGTTGAAACATTAGGATTAGACTCAATTTCTAAATGCCTCAAACCCATATTACTTATATCCTCAAGGGCTTGCCTACAACCCAGATTTGCTACTACCTAATTTGAACTTAGATAGTTTACTTTTAATATTTGATCCTAATTTCGCACATGTAATGACCTAATTCAAATCAACAATCAACATTTGAAGGAAATAATAAATTGTGAATGTTTTTGTATCAATTATTTCCATTGATTACCATACTTTCCCCTTGATTATAGAGAGTTTTCAAACATTCCTAAATAAAGAAAATATGAATTTTAATTATAAACTGTAATATTATTAATATCCAGCATGGGAAATCTTGATATTCCATGTTTGCTTTGTTTCCATAAAAGATTACTTCAAGACACCTATTTAAGATTGTCCAATAAGAGTTAGATGTGCAAGAAATTTTTTTTTTGAATCAAGTAAAGAAATGAAAATTACTATGAGGTTTTCTTTTCTCCTGTCAATTCTAATTTTAGGCTTTATTTTTATCCCAACCGAAGGCAGATCTTACCGTGCTTTGAACTTCGGCGTATTTCCAAAGGAATCTGTTCGGCCATCTACAATTGGTGGCGGTGGACTATATCCACCACCAACACGTGCAAGTCAAATTGATCGTGATTTGGATGATGGGATATTTCTTAAGGAACTTGATCTGCCATCTACGATTGGTGGCAGTGGACTGAATCCGCCACCAACACATGCAAGTCAAGCTAATCGTGACATGGATGTTGAGGCACTTTTTGAGGAACTTTATTTGCCTTCTAATATTGGTGGCGGCGGACTAAACCCGCCACCAACACATCCAAATCTAGTTGATCGTGATTTGAACGTTAAGGTATTTCCCGAGAAACCTATTTTGCCATCTATGGGGCACGGTGACTTGTATCCGCCACCAACACATGCAAGTCAAGCTAATCGTGACATGGATGTTGAGACACTTCTTGAGGAACTTGATTTGCCTTCTAATATTGGTGGCGGCGGACTAAATCCACCACCAACACACCCAAATCAAGTTGATCGTGATTTGAACGTTGAGGTATTTCCCGAGAAATCTATTCTGCCATCTATGGGGCACGGTGACTTGTATCCGCCACCAACAGTTGCAAGTCAAGCTAATCGTGACATGGATGTTGAGGCACTTCTTGAGGAATTTGATTTGCCTTCTAATATTGGTGGCGGCGGACTAAATCCGCCACCAACACATCCAAATCAAGTTGATCCTGATTTGAACGTTGAGGTATTTCCTGAGAAACCTATTCTGCCATCTATGCGGCACGGTGATTTGTATCCGCCACCAACTCATGCAAGTCAAGCTAATCGTGACATGGATGTTGAGGCACTTCTTGACGAATTTGATTTGCCTTCTAATATTGGTGGCGGTGGACTAAATCCGCCACCAACACATCCAAATCAAGTTGATCGTGATTTGAACGTTAAGGTATTTCCCGAGAAACCTATTCTACCATCTATGGGGCACGGTGACTTGTATCCGCCACCAACATTTGCAAGTCAAGCTGACCGTGATTTGAGCATCGGTGTACAGCCAAAGGAGTATGTTCTACCATCTACGATTGGTAACTAGGACGGTTCCGTCGTATCCCAAGGCAAAGTGTTCATAATTTGAACTATGAATACTTCCCAAGGGACCAGTTTCACCATCTACATCCGTTCACAGTGGAAAATAAACTTGTCCTGAACTCATGTGAATTCAAGGCCTAAGTGCTTTTTATTAGCCAAAATTATGTTCTTATTTTCTTTCGAATAATAAAATAATTTTTAATTTACAATCCATCCAAAGAGGTATCATCGTTATTGTCAACATTATCTTTAACTATGTTGACCAACCAATCTGAATTAGATATTATAGAAATATGTATCGAGATAATTCTTTCAATCCAATTTATTTTTATTAAAAGAGAAATAACAAGTGAACTATAGTTCAATACACAATACGATTATTTCAAAAAGGTTTATAAGTCATGGTATTCAATCATGGATCGTCTTCCTCATTATTATCATCATCCTTGTTTTCTTCTGCAAAATAAATAAATCAAAATCACATTAATTATTTAAAAAAAAAACTATGACTAATGTTGTAAATGGAACTTACCATTGCCATATCTTGCTTCAAACATTCTTAAATGTGGATCAACCGGCAACCCCATGGCTGCATATGACGGATTGTACACTTTGTTCTTGATAATTTTGGATTTGTTGAATCGAGTCATATTTTTTTCGTGAATAAAATCGGATTTTAATAAATAAAATTTTGTTTATTTAGATTCCATTAGACTTAAAGTTATAATTAATGTTTAAACATGTAGCATAAAGTAAACCTTGAAATTGAAGCACTACGAACACCAGTGTTTTGACGTTGATTGCCTTCTCTTGATGACATGCACTCCGTAAAATGAAGGTTTGGGTCTTCTTTCCAATTCATTATCATCTACATAAAAAAACATTAATTATCAATGAGTTCGAATCCTAACACTGTAAAAGAAAGAATAGATTGAAATA